TTTTTCCCCTTTTTTTTTATCCCCCCCCCAAAATAAAGGACCCCGGGACCAGGGGCCCAGGCACGACCCAGGTAATTTATTACTTCTTTAATTAATTCATTCATTAATTGGTTAATTAGCGGGGGATAATTGGGTTGGGTTTGGGTTAATTAACGGAATAATTAATGGCGTTTATTGGGGCTTAATTTGGGCAGTGATTGGTTTGGTTGGGGTAATTAAGGGGGTAATTAAAAGGATGATTAGCAGGAGTAAATGGGGGGATAAAGGGGTGGGATTGGGATTAATTAATAAGGTAATTAATGGTGTTTATTGGGGTTAATTAGTGCTGATAACAGGGTTAATTGGGGGTAATTAATGGCGTTATTAGTGGGTAATTAGCTGGAATTAAGTGGGGATTGAGAGGTTAGAATTGGGTTAATTAATGGGGTAATTAATTGGATTTATTGGGGGTTAATTAGCGCTGATGGCGGGGTTAATTGGGGGTAATTAATGGGGTTATTAGTGGGTAATTAGCTGGAATTAAGCGGGGAATGAGAGATTAGGATTGGGTTAATTAACTGGGCAATTAATTGGATTTATTGGGGGTTAATTAGCGCTGATAAGGGGTAATTAATGGGGTCATTAGTGGGTAATTAGCAGGGATTAGAGGTTATGGATGGGTTAATTAATGGGGTAATTAACGATAATTTGTCGTGGGGGAGAGGCCTTGGGACCGTTTTGGAGTTAATTACCTTGCAATTTCAGTAATTAGCGCTAATGAGCGTTAATTAGTTAATTAATCTGTAAATGAGGGGGCCAACAGGCGTGGGGGAGGGGCTTGGGGGCCGTTTCGGCGCTTTGGGGGCGGAGCTGAGGGGGTTTAATCAGCGCTAATGAGTCACTAATGAACGGTAATTAGCGCTAATTAAGGGTAATTAACGGCCCTCGCAGGTGAGCAGGACAACTCGGACAACAACACGATCTTCGTGCAGGGGCTGGGCGAGAACGTCACCATCGAGTCCGTGGCCGATTACTTCAAACAGATCGGAATCATCAAGGTGAGACTCACCTGGACAGGTGAGAGAGACACACCTGGGGGGGGGTGAGAGACACCTGGGGGGGTGAGGGACACCTGGGACTCACCTGGACAGGTGAGAGACACCTGGGGGGGTGAGGGACACACCTGGGGGGGGCTGGGATATACCTAGGACACACCTGGGACAGGTGAGAGACACACCTGGGGGGTGACAGAGACACC